CGAGGTGCGATGCGCAGAATTGAATCGCATAGGTGTAAATACCCATGCGATCTGATTCTAGTGCAGACCTAAAAAGGGGTCCGGCATGTTTTTGGTGTGGTGCGATTAGAGCCATACATAAGGTATGGCTCCAATCGCACTGCACACAAATCGCATGTGATTTGCACAGAAATGCAGTGCGTTTCCTGTGCGAATCACATGCTATATGCCGCAAAGCAGGTATGTGAACCAGGGCTTTATCAGTGACAGTAATTGTTATGCCTTTGTGGCTAGATATTAGGTATGTGGCTTAAAATGTGTTGATAAAATGGGATTATTTGAAAGCTGCATTTTTATACTTGTTATAAGGGGCTTATGGTGGCCATGCACAAAACAATTTTATATACGATTGTATTATTAATAGACCTACTGTCTGATCAGAAAGATCACATTGAATGATCTACTTTCCTACCATTGGACTTTCTGTCCGGACTGCTCAGAATAATTAAATCGATCGACTTTGCTTGAAATTGATCAATGACACAGTATGTGTTGTTTCGATAATTTATAGATCTGATCATATTATCTGACTTTGTGAAAAATCATTCAATCAGATTGCAGTGTTTATGCCCGCCATTATTCTTTAACAAAAGTTGAAAAAAAAATAGTCGGCAGAATTGAAGGCAATCAATCAGATTTGAACCTTTATTAATGTGTCCTTCAATTAAAACTAAAGGCAAAACTTTCTTTTTCGTTTTGAATAAAGTAGAGAGAGATTAGAACACTTGCCAGGTTTTTATTGCTGTCTGTGCCTGTTAGGAAGATTCACCCTCCCTGTCTGTCCTGTTTACCATTATAACAAAGAGGGAAAGTAAAAGAAAATCACAAACTTTGAGCTGCCCCCAGAACAGTAATAGAGGGGATAATCTTTAAATGGGGACACCAGGGACTGCCTCACATTGGATGGATTTCCTCTCACTTCCAATTTGACTATGGGACAGGAAGAGAAGGGAAATTCCCCAATGGGAGATGGATAGCAAAAACAAAAAACACAGGTTGTAGGTACACAAAAAAAAAAACCACAGGTACACACGATAAGAAAATCGTACGAAAAATTTTGCGGAACCACTGATCGAACGATTTTCTTGATAAGCAGGATGTTTTAACTGATAACGATATTGTGAACAAAAAAATTTTGGTTGAACAACAGTGAAAAATGTTGTAATTTCGCATATGAACGACCGATTTTTTCTATGCAAGTCGTACGAAAAAAATCTATGGTATGGCAAGGAATCTTCGTATGTTTACAAGGAATCTTCGTAAACACGAACAAATATCCAAATGTTAAAAGTAGATTGGCCTAATGAGATAATGAAACCAGAATTCTGCATATTATATTTTATGTATCACTATATATATATATATATAGATAATGTAATAAAATATATTATACTCATTGCTGGTAATTGTGTATATCGCTCGTTCTGGCCGGAAGAGGAGTGGCTACAAGGTCACATGCACTCTGCATCACTTCCACTTGTACGGAAGACGTCAACACTATGTATTGCCCGACGAACGATTTTTTTAGATTGGATAATGTGGGCCATGATTTCGACCAACGAACGAACGCCTCTCGGTCGTCGGATGACGATTTTCTAATCGTGTATTCCCACCTTTAGGCCTTGCTCATGTATTCTGTGCTCTCTGAAGAATTATCCACATTCCGATCAGAATCTCTCTTCAGAGGGAGTTTAACAGATGGTAAGAAGGCACTATATCGCCTCCTCGTCACCTGTTTTAACCCCTTAACCCTTTGAGGACCATAAGATTACGGAACGCCAAAAGAATCAATTTTTTGTTTTTAAAGTTCGTACACTTCAGTTGCTGTAACTAAGCCATTTCATGAAATAATTGGCAAAAAGCTAGATCCATTTGTTGATAAGAACTAATATTTTGACTCAAACCAAAAAAAAAAAAGAAAAGTATTTTAAGTTCTTAATCAGATGATACAGGCAATTAAAAACATGGGACAAATACGTCCCTTGGTCCTCAAAGGGTTAACTCAGCGCCACTTCAGTTTAATCTGTTGGTGATACTGTCTGCTAAATGCGACACTGTGGATAATTACTGCTGCGCTTCAATATGTACGCCCACTTGTTGTCTTTGCAGCTTGAGGGGAGTAGATTGGGGTCAAGCTGCGATATGCACACCCCTCTGCTGTCTTTTTGAGGCTTAAGAGGAAATGATTGGAAGGAAGGTATAAATGCGGCTGGACCACGCTTTTTTTACCCCCCCCCCCCCCCCCCCCCCCCCTTCAACCACAAGTGTATAGGAGCTCATGCTACAAAATAAAAAGAAAACGTTTTTCCTTTCATGCTAATCAGTTGTCATTGCTTATGGGCCTTGTGCCTACTGAAGGAACGTTGATGGCAAGCAGAAAGACTCTTTTCATGATTCAATACAATGTGAAAGTGAGAATGTGATGAGGCTCATGTGTCTAGCTGTCTCCTTCATATCACAGTAAGCAGATTGAAAGGAGCTTTTCTATCATGATGGTTGAACCTTGGGCAAATGTTTATCTGTTACAATCCTCCTACATTTCACTTGGCTTCAGGCACATGGCCCAGTGTACACTTTATTTATTTATTTCAGGTACTTATATAGCGCCGTCAATTTATGCAGCACTTTACATATATATATTACATTCACATCAGTCCCTAACCCTCAAGGGGTGTACAATCTAAGGTCCCTAACTCACATTCATACATACACATACTAGGGACAATTTAGACAGGAGCCAATTAACCTACCAGCATGTCTTTGGAGTGTGGGAGAAAACCAGAGTACCTGGGGGAAACCCACACAGGCACAGGGAGAACATGCAAATTCCAGGCAGGTGGTGCCGTGGCTGGGATTCGAACCAGCGACCCTAGTACTACCAGGCAGAAGTGCAACCATTTAACCACTGTGCTGTCCACGCTTTAAAAGCAGTATTAAACCCAAAAACAAAACTGTAACATATTGCAGCTTACAGTACCTATTGTAGGCCTTTGCCCAGCTCTCCTAGACACCTTTCCTCCTGGCACCAGTGTTTTGGCTGAAATAATGCTTGTAAGTGCATGCAGATGCATTCAGGTGCATCAAGCGATTGGGAATTCATTCATTTCATTGGCCAGAATAATCATTTATTCTGGTCATTGAAATGAATTAACGCTCAAGCACTAAACGTGCCTAGAGTTATTGTGCGTTTAGATGTGTTTACATGCATTTAGGAACATTGGCCATTTTTTCTGCCAAAATGCTGCTGTTTCTGGATGCACTGGCTGTGATGTTCTTTTTTTCTGCCTCCAAACACCATTGTGCGCATGGCACATAGGCAAACCTGCAGAGGTGTTTAGAGGCAGGGAAAAAAAAAGCCAGACTCAGCTAACAGCAGCATCAAAAATCGTCCAATGTGCATGAGGCCTAAATGTGATGGCTGCATTCGTTTTCTTTGTTAGGATTTTTTTCCTTTAATTCCACCTGGTGATCTGGCCAGTAATACACTTCTTGTCTTAGGGTGTCTCCACTGTGGATGGAGGAGCAACAGAGACACCTTTGGACAGCAGTCTGGAAAAAGGGTATTAGATGCACTAGCAGATTTAGATGGAGTTGACTAACAAACTAATGCTGAACTCTACAAGATAACAGGTTTTTCTTAAGAATGTTATAAGTTGCATACAGCACTTTTTGTTCCTTCTAACCAAACGACAGGATAGAAACGGTAATTTACATAAAATAAAAACTGGTGTTTTAATAAAAAGTTACTACTAACATATTTAACCCTTTTCATGTGTTAAATGATTTGCATCAATTCCTTCTAACTGTAAACTTTTTCTGTAGGACAGCTTGCTCTGGCTAAAGGAAGTTGAAAAATAGCAAACTTACTGGACAGATCACAGAAGATTCAGTGAGCAAATCCCCGGAGGTGCAAAAAAAGTCTTAAAAAAGAAAACTAATGCAGCTACTACATCTAAGTAAATGAATGGAAGCTGTCTCAATATATTACCTTCTAACTTCACTTTCTCTGGACAGTTTGCCGTTAGGGAAGTGTACGTAAAAAAAATAACAGTACTTACTCGGGGACAGTAATCACTCAGATAACAATTTCTTAAAATAAGGGAAAAAAAAGACTAAAAAAAAAATAAATGCAGCCACTACTACTAATTCACCCACATAAGAATGAAAAACTGCCAATTTTTGGACAGCTTCCTGTTAAAGGAACTGAAAAATAGCACTTTACTGGACAGCTTGCCCAAGATTAAAATAAAGGAAAAAAAAAGTCTAAAAAAAGAAAAAACAACACAGCTGCAATATATTACTTCTAACTTCCACTTTCCTGGACAGTTTGCCGTTAAAGGAAGTAAAAAAAATAACAGACCTACCAGATTAAAATAAGGGGACTAAAAAAGAGAAAAAAAAGCAAATGAAAAAGAAAATGAATGGACAGCCCTGTGAAAGGAAGTAAAAAACAAACACCTCGGACAGAGATTAAAAAAATGGAAAAAATAAAAAAAAGAAAATGAATGCTACATCTGAGAATATTACTGCAATATATTACCCTCTAACTGCCATTTTGTCTGGACAGTTTGCCCTGTTAACCACCTTCTGCCCGCCCTATAGTACAAAGACGGGCGCAAGGTGGTTCTCTCGTTCAGATAGGACGTCATATGACGTCCTACCATTCTCACTGCGCATGCGCGGCTCAGGGAGCACACAGCGCTGCGATCGCCGGTCCGCTGTGTCCCTCGGACACAGTGGATCATGGAAAGAGCCGAAGATGTCGGCTCGGTCATGTGATCAGCTGTGTCCAATCACAGCTGATCACATGTAAACACGGAAATGCTGGTTATCAGCATTTCTCTCCTCTCGAGCTGTCACGCTGACAGCTTGAGACGAGAGGAGAGCCAGTAATCGGCTTTCTGCGGAGGGGACATGTACACTGATCATCAGGGCACTGATGATCAGTGAGCCCTGATGATCAGTGTGGCCCCAGAAGTGCCACCTGTGAGTGCTCATCAGTGCCAGTGCCCATCAGTGCCACGTGCCAGTGCCCATCAGTGCCACATCAATGCCACATATCAGAGCATACCAGTGCACATCAATGCCACATATCAGAGCATACCAGTGCACATCAATTTCCACATATTAGTGCCCATCTGAGCTGCCTTTCAATGTCACCCATCAGTGCCAGTCAGTGCCACCTATCAATGCCAATCAGTGCCACCTATCAGTGCTGTCAATCAGTGTCGCCTATCAGTGCCAGTTAGTGCTGCCCAACAGTGCCAGTCAGTGCCGCCTATCAGTGCCAGTCAGTGCTGCCTATCAGTGCCACCTATCAGTGCCATATATTAGTGTCATGTATCAGTGTCATGTATGAGTGCTGCCTTTCAGTGCCCATCAGTGATGCCTCTCAAAGCCCATCAGTGCAACCTACCAGTGCCTCCTCATCAGTGCCCATCAGTGCCACCTATCAGTGTCCATCACTGCAGCCTCATTAGCGCACATCAGTGAAGGAGAAAAATCACTTATTTACAAAATTGTATAACAAAAACTAAGAAAAAACGTTTTTTTTTTTCAAAATTTTCAGTGGTTTTTGGTTTGTTTAAGAAAAAATAAAACTCCCAGAGGTGATTAAATACCACCAAAATAAAGCTCTATCTGTCTCAAAAAAATGATAAAAATTTCATATGGGTACAATGTTGCATGACCGCGCAATTGTCATTCAAAGTGTGACAGCGCTGAAAGCTGGAAATTGGCCTGGGCAGGAAGGGGGTATAAGTGCCCTGTAGACAAGTGGTCAAAGGAAGTAAAAAAATAACAGACCTACTGGACAGATCACCAGACTAAAATAAAGGGAAAAAAGCCTAAAACAATTTAAACAAATGCAGCCACTACATCTAAGAATAAATAATCTGCAATATATTACCTTCTAACTGCCACTTTGTCTGGACAGCTTGCCCTGTTAAAGGAAGTAAAAAAATAATAGACCTACCGGACAGATCACCACATTAAAATAAAAGGAAAAAAGTCTATCTTTAAGGGGGTAATCCTTCCCAGTAACCACAAGTATAAGGAGCATTCTTCGCACTGATCATCACATTGATGTATCATGAGTTGTAGATATGGTCATTTTTAGCAGGGGCTCCCTGAGACTTGAAAGTTATCTTAGGGGTTCCTCTGTCTCGAAAAGGTTGAGAAAGACTGTACTGGACAGATCACCAGATTAAAATAATGGAAAAAAGCCTAAAAAAAAAGAAAAAGAAAAATAATGCAGCCACTACATCTAAGAATAAATAAGCTTCAATATATTACTTTCTAGCTGCCACTTTGTCTGGACAGCTTGCCCTGTTAAAGGAAGTTAAAAAATAACAGACCCTCTGGACCAGTGTTCCTCCAGAGGTCGCTAGGGGTTCATTGAGCAATGAAAAATTTCTGCCTCTCAGATAAGTTCCCAACTCACCATTGATCTTAACCACCTTTAAGGAGGTAATCCTTCCCAGTAACCACAAGTATAAGGAGCATTCTTCCCACTGATCATCACATTGATGTATCATGAGTTGTAGATATAGTCATTTTTAGCAGGGGCTCCCTGAGACTTGAAAGTTATCTCAGGGGTTCTTCTGTCTCGAAAAGGTTGAGAAAGACTGTACTGGACAGATCACCAGATTAAAATAAAGAGAAAAAAGTCTAAAAAAGAAAAACGAATGCAGCCATTACATCTAAGAATAAATAAGCTGCAATATAATACCTTCTAGCTACCACTTTGTCTGGACAGCTTCCCCTGTTAAAGGAAGTCAAAAAATAATAGACCTACTGGACAGATCAGCAGATTAAAATAAAAGGAAAAAAGCCTAAAAAAGAAAATGAATGCAGCCAGTACATCTAAGAATACATAAACTGTAATATATTACCTTCTAGCTGCCACTTTGGACAGCTTGCCCTGTTAAAGGAATTCAAAAAAAATAATAGACCTAACGAACAGATCAGCAGATTAAAATAAAAGGAAAAAAGCCTACAAAAATGAAAACGAATGCAGCCACTAAATCTAAGAAGAATAAATAAGCTGCAATACATGACGTTGATGTTTTGGGTTTATTACCTCTTTACGGTGGTGTTACTGACCTGGAAGATCCATTTGGTAGTCGCTCTTCGGAGACCTGTCCATGCCAGAGCACACAGGACCACGCACAGCATCTCCATCCAGGTGAATTTGGCATGTGCTTGTAATGTATTCCAGGAAGATGTCAGGCCACAGTCTTTACATTCTTTCAGCGCCCCAAGGAACTGTTCCCCACTTTTGATGAGAAGGTCCACGTACCCCAAGGAGGAAGGGACCTGGATGTTCTGTATTTTATGCTCTTGCTCCATGATGGGCACAGTCACAATGGATGACTTTGTTCTCCGGTTGAATTCAGACCCAAGCGACACCGCGTTTCGTTTTTTTTTTTTACCAGATCTGCTCCAAACCAGCTTGGCACATTAATAAACAGCAAGGATGCAAGCTAAAGAACACATCCATAAATAGCCTAGCCATCCATTTAGTAGAGGGAATTTGTAGAAACATCAAAGCTGCCTGCTGAGGACCCCCTTGTAGAAAGGGCTATCTCTGTGGGTCTGATGAAGAGGGCAGGGATGGCTCCTAGAAATAAAGGGGACACAGACAAGGGGGTGATGATGGACAGGGGAGGGAGAGGCTCTGAGCCCCCAGTCTTCTCTCTCTTGCTGGAGGATAAGGGAGGAGGGGGCAGCTGGTGCAATGAATCTCTTTCCCTGTGATTGGAAGAATCCAGTGTAGCAGGGCAGGTTCTAGCAGGGAGGAGAGGCTGCTGCTGCCTGTTCTGTATGCAGATGGCAATCAGATCTGGAGAGGAAATCTGAGCAGGCAAGGCTAGCCTGGCATGATGTGGGCATCTGATTGGTACAGCCAGTCCTGGGTACAGGCAGAGTCTGCTTGGGGAAGAAGAGAGCAGCAGCCTGATATATTCAGAGCACGTTTGAATGGAGGGGCGGGGCCATTAGGGAAGGAATGTCCGGCAGCCAATGACTGGCAGAGGAGAGTGAGAGCGGGGAGGGGGGAGTTGACAGAAGCCACGTGATGTCAGATCCTTCAAGTAACTGTTCTCTAAGGCTCAGCACTGACCAGGAGACAACTGTCATTGGATCTGCTGAGAAGGGATGAAATGCAACTCTGGATTCTGCCCAGAGGTTTCACCTTCTACAAAATGCTGAACACTCATCACATTGGGGATTTTGGAGTTATTTATTCATTTCAGGTACTTATATAGAGCCATCAATTTACGCAGCGCTTTACATATATATTGTACATTCACATCAGTCCCTAACCCTCAAGGGGTGTGCAATCTGATGCAGGCCATAGACGGTTCTTTTATCGGTCGAATTTTCGGCCGAAAAATGAAAAATCGGTCATTCTGTTGCCACCAATGATTACGAAAATCATGCGTTTTTCGTACATTTTCCAGCATGACCAATAAAAGAAATGAGGAACTGCGAAAATCAGCCGATGACATTGCCCCAATAACGGTGCGAATATTGGCCAATTATTCTTTCAGACGAAAATTCAGCCGATAAATCGTCTATGGCCTGTATAAGGTCACTTACATACATACACATACTAGGGTCAATTTAGACAGGAGCCAATTCACCTACCAGCATGTCTTTGGAGGGTGGGAGGAAACCGGAGTACCCGGAGGTAACCCACGCAGGCACAGGGAGAACATGCAAACTCCAGGCATGGTGCCATGGTTGGGATTCAAACCAACGACCCTAGTACTGCCAGGCGGAAGTGTTAACCATTTAGCCACTGTGCATACATTGTATTATCCAGTTATTGCAATGTATCTTATCTGCAGACTTTTCTCTATAATGTTTAGTGTAAATGAGCTCATTACAGGTTTCACTGCCTAGTTGCAAACATCCCGAAAGGTATAGACCAAGCCAGGGGTGGACTGACCATTTGAACACTCGGGCATTGCCCGAGGGCTTGGGGTCAGTAGGGGGCCCCATGAGATGCCCCTGGTACCTTTCATTGGCTTTTTCATAGGTGTTTTTGGGTGTGGGCGAGAACACAGGGGTCCCATGATCTCCTATTGCCCGGGGGCCCCATGAGTTGTCAGTCCGCCCCTGGAGCAAGCATTTTTCCACACCTAAAGCACGAAAAATCGTTCAGAAATCCACCCATGTATGGCCGGCCTAAGTAAAGCAGGCCATACATGGGTCGAATTCCGAACTATTTTTCGATTGAAAACATTGCTCGTTCTGTAATCCGACGGTGCCACCAATGATTTCTATAATCGGTCGTTTTTCATGAATTTTCCAGCATGCCCGATAAACAAAATGGGGAGGTACCACGAAAATCTGCCGGTCCCATTGCTCCACTAACTGAACAAAAATCAGCCGATTATTCTTAGGTCCAATTTTCAAATGAAAAATCGTTCGAAAATCAACCGATGTATAGCCGGCCTAAGTAAAGCAGGCCATACATGGGTCAAATCCCGAAAACATCATCCATTCTGTATTCCAACGGTGCCACCAATGATTTCTAAAATTGGTCATTTTTCACGAATTTTCCAGCATGCCCAATAAACGAAATGTGAAGGAACTAGGAAAACCATCCAATGCCATTGCCCCATTAACAGAGCGAAAATCGGCCCATTATTCTTAGGTCCGATTTTCAAATGAAAAATCATTGGAAAATTGACCCATGTATGGCCAGCCTAAGTAAAGCATGCCATACATGGGTCGAATTCCAAATGATTTTTTGATCAAAAATTTAAAACATCGTTCGTTCTGTAATCCGATGGTGCCACCAATGATTTCGAAAATCGGTCGTTTTTCACAAATTTTCCAGCATGCCCGATAAACGAAATGGGAAGGAACCAGGAAAATCGTCCGATGCCATTGCCCCATTAACAGAGTGAAAATCAGCCCATTATTCTTAGGTCCAATTTTCAAAAAATCGTTTGAAAATAGACCCATGTATGGCCAGCCTTAGGCCCCTTTCACGCGGGTGCTCCGTAGGTCCGTTTTTCATCTGTCCGTTTATGGATGAAAAACAAACACCCATGTATTTCTATGGACTGGCGGATGTAAACGGATGATCATCTGTTTACATCCATTGATGTCCGCATCTGCCACTTGCTCTCCAGAGGATTTAACCCCCTACCTGACCAGGCCACTAAAGAATCTCTTGAGATTGTTTGTAGATGGTCAACCTCTATTAGGGATAGGCTGGTTCACAACCACAATACACAAAGGAGAGAACAGATATCCCCCTGTAGTAAAGGCACCTTCAGAAGTGGAAGCT